TTTGCTCAAGGAATCTAATAATTTTAATCAAATAATAAACGAGGACTAAAAATCCACGACGACAATATTGTAACAAAGAATTAATTTTTTTTAACACATAATTCAAAATAAACGTTCAGTCATTAGCAACCTATCAAGAACTTTAGTGCTATAGAAATGACTCGGTAGGATTTGTTCTATTTGAAGTTTACCCTTGATAAGATTGAGCAGTCACTAAAACTATGTAAACTAGGCGGTAAAAAGTTGGCCGTTACATTGTTGAACCGATGAAATACAGAACACCATGCTCCGCAGTAATATGAGTAACGACCTATCTTGTCTTGTAACATTCTAATCACGTTCACAGCAGTTTTATATGACTCATATTTTATCCATGTATCTAATGACATGTGTACTATAAGATTACAATATTTTATACTGCAACAAAATGATATGCTACAAAAGTCATTATTTCTAATAAAGAAATGTGACTCACTGGAAATTTCTTTTCTAGTGACAGTCTTATTATCTCGACAATAAACGTTTTCTAATGAAAGATAAAATGGTGAATTTAATTATACTATTTTAAGATCTGTTTCAAATCAAACATGCACACGTATATGACATATGGAAAATACATTAAACAATTTTCTCTTTTATGAATGCAACGAATATACTTCATTTTTTTGCAAATAATTGTTAATGATGTAAATGTACCTTATTTTCAACGACACAATCTAAATTTACTCCTTAAATTATATGTGTGATGTTAGCCAAATGACATTTATATCTAAAAGAAATCCTTTATCAATTGTATTTGAAGTGCACACCTGTTATGCTTATCATTATCAAACATCAGCTATTAGACTTGCAACCCAGAGTTGACGTTTTAATATGTATTTATTTATTTAAGTTGTAACGAAATTGTGTCCAAATGAATTAAGGTACAGCTGTGTAAATCGAAATCAGCAACTGCTGTTTTCTGCCTTTGTTTACATTGTCATTAGTCTATAATATGTCTGCTGACATTGCATTTGAACCTCAAAACTTGATCATATGTAAATCAGTATTGAATGACATTAAGAACTGTAAGGGTTAAAGTACTCTTAGCACGGTTGCAGAATATATTTTAATAGAATGACGCATTGTATTTTATAATGATTACGATATTTTATAATGTTTTGTATTTTAATAATCTAACTGTTCATTTATATTGTGATTAATAAATTATGCTTAATTATGAATTCAATAGAAAAGCAGTATTTCTCGACTTATAAAATACATAAATATTATATAATTCCATACAAGGGCGAACGCAGAAATATACATAATATTATATCAAAACGAAATATCGATGGAGCGCGCACAGTTATTGCACGATTGAAAAAAAAAATGCAAAATCTTCTTGCCTCATTACATAATAATACTAGCTCAAATAAACTCACTGACAAATGGCATAACATGACCCATGTTTCATCAATATGAAAGAATCTCATTTATGCATTAACGAGCCGAGTGGCAGACAGGCTTACAAAGTCTGGTTCATGAGTGGGGAGACGGTTAACGGACAGACTCGCGGAGAGGAAGACATTTAGACAAAGACAGACAAAAATATTTTGCTATTAGAATATTACCAAAAGGAAATATAAATTTCAAATAAATCAGTGTCGAATAATTTGAGTAATAGTTATTAGTGTATAAATTAAGATTATTTATCTTTGCATCTCTTCAGAGAAAAGTTATACATATATAAGATGATCACTTCAGTTAAATCGTATAGTTTGCAAACTACATTAGCAAACCATCCGGCTCGCAATACATAGTAAACATCACCTTGCAGATCACTGTTTCGAGCAATGTCAAGTTATAAAATATTGGTTTGTCTGTCTTCGTTTTGGACTTTAAGTCACAGAGACTAGCTTTTTTTGGTGAATATCTTGTTTCAGACACGAGCAAAATCATGGGTAAAACCACCGACCTCCCGTGAGCTTAACAGTTAACATTCAGTACATGAAAAAAATTGAAGTCCTTACCAAGATTCGAAGCTCACATCAGTAAGTAACAAGTTACGCAACAGGTTGGCAATTATAGATATGGATAACTATCCACAGAGAAACATCACAGGAAATGTTTATGTCTTTCATTATCTAGTTTTTTTCTCTCTGTTTTTACCGATTATAATGTAATTTTAAATTTTTAATCACCATGTACCACAAATATCCAATCCAGGCGACAAAAAGATCATGTTTTATCAAAATTAGCTAATTATCAAACATTAAACTACCGAGCATGGTTCTTTATGGATATCTTGGATAGATAATGTTTAATAATATTCTGAAATCAATTTGTATATATGTTTTCATTTACAATAATGTTTTTATGAAAAAATATAAAGTTAATGTAAAATGTTCAATTTTATATATGTACATGACTGGAGATTTTTCTTTTAAGAACAAAATTATAGAACTTTTGGACAATAAGAGTTTTGATTGACGTTAAGTCCAAAGTTTCTATTCGATAGATAATCAGCGTTAATGATAATGAAAAAAAACAAAAACAAAAAAACTTTTTTATTGTCAGGGCAATTTTAGCTATATTGTTCCCCCAATGACATTGTACAGGCGATCTTTTAAGTTGGTGCATGTAGTCCATCATAACCATGAACAGCATTTGAGAATAAATCCTCTTAATTAACAAATAAAAACAACATCAACATAATTTGAAAAAATATAAGTTACGTTCCAATCATACTGTCACATTGTTATTGCAAATATTGTACACTTGTATGTGTGGGATGGGTGTGTTTGTGCGTGCGTGCGTGTGTGCGTGTTTAAGTGGATCTAGGCATCGTCTGTGGAATTCTATTAATAGTTTTACAATGTTCTTTTAAAAGTTTCTTTGGTCATTAAAAATATATCACTAAATTACATAAAGATCAGCTTGAAAGTAGGCATATCAAATGCTAAATATAATTATATGTATAACGTTTATGACAAATTAATAATTCTATAAATTAATAAATATATTTAAGCGTAATCTTTCTGAGAGATTGTTTGAAAACGTTCTTTTCTATACTTTTTGAAACAGCATTCAAGTGCTTATAAGTCTCTGCATACATAATCGTCCATACATGCAGATTATTCAGTGATTAGTATTGCAAAGAGAAGGAATGACTGGTATTATTTGAAATTCTGAAAAATCTTGTCTGGGTAGCAGAACAATGTAATACCAATATTGCATAAAGTTATATAACCGCTTAGCTCAAATACATCATATAAATAAATCAGGACTGCTATTCAGATTTTCCTTTTACAGTAAATGTTGGGCATTCATTGAAATGATTTATTGCTTGCCACTGCGGATTCATAAGATACAATTTCAGTCAATTTGAACTCATAGGCAGTAACTGGTTTGTTATTGATGAAAGACAAAGAAGTTGATTGGCCGCTGAGCTAATGTTAACATTTGCGTAAGAAAACACAATCTGTGTAAAAGGCTCGAACAATAACGAACAATATAACTAAATATTAATTACAACATTTAAATCATTGGCCATGTAAAACAAACAATATGATCTTCATTATATTCATCTTTATATATAACCAATAGATGATACAACGTTACCGTAACTGTTCTTGATTAGAAACTGTTCGGACATAAAAGCAGCTTGTATGTAACACGACCATCCAGGTTCAGGGTGTTTAAAATTAAGTCTGTAAGTTGTATACCACTATTCTAAAAGTTTGCTTGAAATATCCTAATCATTATTTGCTTGAGTGTTCTTAAAATATTCAGTGTTAATTCTTAATAAAACTAAATAAATGATACATGAATTAATAAAACATTACTGCGATTTCTCGCAAAATTGTATAGAAACCATTTTATTAACTATTGCTTTGTGCTATGACTTACACAGCTGTTTATTAATAAAACCTTGTGTTTTGCAATAAATTATATAATGGTATTTTACATAATTCTTTAAAACGACTTGTTGTATATATTATACCAAAAACATTAAAATAAAATGAGGTAAATAAATGTATTATGAGGTATGCACCTGTTCAATTACACAAGCAAGTTTTATCTAGATCTGCCAATATATGTTTGGTTATTTAAAGGCCCAGCATGTTTCATTCCAATTTAAACGCAGTTGAACAAGATTTACAAGAATTCAGCTCTTTTCGTTAATACAAGCATACTATATCTGATATTGAATAACAAAAGCACGAAAGAGATACATTAGATATTTAAAGCATTTTTTTGCATGAAATAGAATAACATTCAAAGTATCATATATTAACATGCATAACATAACATTTAAGATCCTGTATGTTTAATGATTGATATTGTCAATGTGTGTCTACCACAATTGCAAAAAGTTATTTCTGTATATAGTTATGAAAATAATACAGTTTTCGAACATCGAAAGATATGTAAACATAAATAAGTGTACTGCCAATATATGTGCTCATTATATTTAATGAATTAATTATGTGCATTCTTCTTGGAAATTTTGAATAGGAATTTACAGAAAATACATTTCCAATAACCTCCCTTTATTCACATGAAATGTTAAATTCGAAAATATCTTTATAAATAATGCTTAATGGAACTTACAATATTGTGAGCATCATATCTATGAAATAAAACCATGATTACAGGATTTTTGATATTTTACTCGGTAGTAATAATGGTATACAAAATTACTGCAATGCTTTATATAAGTAATTAGTCGATTGCCTTGGTCAACTTTGTTACTTTCTCGTGGTATTTTATTTTGTTTGCATGGCGCCATACAATGAAATAATTAAATTGCAAGACTTTATCAAAAATTATTTAAAGAAAAGAAAAACAAGTATGAACAAAGCCCCAAAAACGTGCATACTTCAAACTGACCTCTTGGAAAAAAATATCGATTTATTGCAGTGTGTAATGTGCAATAACAAAAGTATTCTAAACATGATTCTAAGATTGTTTTGGGACTTTAAACTAAAGAATGATTGGTTGTCGTTGTAGAACCTGTATATATATCGGACCGCTATAATAATTTTCTGATATTTACGAAGAACAACAATACATGCAGAAAATGATGATTTGGGCGCATACATTGTTAGTTGCGTTGTGTCTCAAAGGTAAAATTATAATGTCTTCATATTTAAACTTATTGATTTAAACTTTGCATTTCAATAGGAAATTCAAATTATTATACATGTATCTTGAGCATGAAAATAGTTTATTTACGATTTACCTTTTTGTTAATTGTTTGTTCAAGAGAGTATGACTTACAATTTAAGCATGATTTTTATTTGCTTTTGAGACGATCGCAATCTTTTTATTGTACTGAAGAATATGTTATCGTCCATTACCTTAATCATGTTTTAAATTATTACTCTCTGCGTGATATATATATAATTATTATATATTTTGTTTTCGGAAATATTCTTTATTTGCTTTAAATGTTTTAAAGATAATCACAGTCTTTTAGCAAAAAGACTAATTTTTTACTTTGCTGTCTGTGTATTGGAGATAATAAATTTCTGTCTTACTTTAGAATAAATCCTCATTATCTTTTTCTTTTATATAATTTCAAATATTACACAATTCTTAACTTTAGCATGACTGCATATGTCGTTTTAACGCATATCTTGTTTTCTGTTCATAAAGATTTTACATTTGCTCTTTCTTCATTTATAAGATATATCACATTTTGTTCTTTTAACTTGGTATGGATCGTTTTTCTTTTGTTTATATAGAGATGACGAAAGTCATTTCTTCTTAGCATGTTTTTTATTTGCTCTCTTTATATTCACAATATTTTTTTCTATTTTTTTTTGTCTTTAGTTGTACGATTTTTATTTCAGATAGTAGTCGTCGTTATCATTATTTTTGAACATAGAGTGGTTTTATCAACGATTTACTTCTAATCTGTATGTTAGTGAAAACCATAGTCTTTTTTAATCAGTAGCTTTGCTTTAATGCTCCCCGAAAGGAAAGCGTAAAGTCGCCGCCTTGCCAGCATGTCCATCCGTCCGATCGTTCGTCTTTTTGGTCCGGAGAATTATTGAATTTCCCTGTACACAGTGGTAAAGGAGGCGGAGTGTAGTGTCAAAGAACCATAACACTTTTTGCCCCATTTTCTTAAGTTATTTTTCCTTTTAGAAAAATCGTGTCCGTAACATAAACTGAAGACCCTTGTTACACTTTGAACTTTGTCAGTTACATAGCTCTGAAACATAAGAGGTATCAACAGGACAATTTTGTGGTAGATATATCTCATTAAATAGAAGTTCAGTGCAAAATAATCGTAACTTTATCTTTCCTTATTTTGGAGTTATTGCTCTCACTTTGAACTTTGTCCAGGACATCACTCTGAAACTATGAGATGTTTAAATGAGAAACTGTGAAGGTAGATATATCTAGTTTGATAAAATTGCAATGCAATAGAAACATAACTTTTGTCTCTCTAATGTTAGAGTTTATACCCTTTATGCATTTTTTTTTAGATTTGTCCGGAACATGACTCTGAAACTCTTAAAGATATTAACATAAACTTTTGGAGGGAGATAGATCTTATTGCGAAATATGCAGTGCAAAAATGTTGCTCTGCCATGTCTATTTTTGTAGTAATTGCCGTTTTTCAATTAACACTCAGAACTATGATCGGAACTACAAGAGGTAATAGCAAGAAAATAAGACGCTAAACAGACTGAGATGAAATGAAGTACAAGGAACAGTAACTCTTCCTTGCCTAATTTTGGAATATTTGCACTTTAAACATTGTTCGGGATATAACTCTGAAACTAAAAAAATGTACTTTTCTGTGTCAAAAAACTATTCGGGGAGCATCACTGTGTTCAAACCGGCTCTTGTTTAGATTTGCTTCGAGTATCTGTCTACTGTAAATGATCTTAGTATTTTAACTTGTGCGTGATATTACCTTTTTGTATGTCTGTAATTTGATATTATCATAGTCTGTTTTCCTTTGTTTAATTGTTATTTGTATATTGAAAATAAGCACACTCTTTCCATCGCAGATTTTAGAACATGGTTGCTTGGGGAATTCTATAAGTACTTATTTTCAATCACTGCTTAATATTACCTGATTCAGCAAAATTCACATGTTGTACTTTTCAGAAGTTCACGCTTATTTTACTACTTGATGATCAAACAAGATGCTAAATAAATAACAAAAATGTGTGTTTTTGAACAATAGTTAATGAGTCTGCCGGGAACACATTGAAAAACATGATCATAAAAATAATAATATAAAAATAAATTGTAAAAGATACATAGTAATGCAGAAAGTCTTCAAATATTGCACTTCCCGTCTAATATCTTATTAAGAAAGTTATAAGGATTTTTAACACAAACTGTTAAAAGTTTATCATCTGTTAGATATGTAATACGAAGTTGTTGCATTGTATAAGATGTTGTTTTACTTTGCTAATTTTTGTAGCTTGTGCTGTGGCTATCGAGCATGAATCACGGGAATCAAATAAGGTAAATAGAAACAAAGATACACAACAACAAGATGTATTTTTACGCATCATAACTGCTTAATAGATAATTTATATTATGATTTGTCAAGTTTGATATTGTTACATTATATTATTTACCTATTGCATCATTATGGTATTTCCTAGGCTAATAAACTGTAATCGTTTAAGATACACCTACGGCAATTTATAGGTACTTCGTACGAAATATTTGTTGTTTTTGTTTTCGGATTAAGAACATATACCTTAAAACGAACTACTTAAAGAGAATTTATTTGTTTGGAATTAACGAAACGACCTATTGCTGGCCATACCGCGCCAGACACAATACACAATCAGATTTTTTAAACCTAAGAACGGATCTGTATTCAATGTTACAAAATGAGTTAGTAAAATCTTAGATTGAAACATTTCTTTTGAGTAATCAATCAATGTTCTGGAAGGAACTGAGTCAAAAAGTTATGAAACAATGTAATATCAGTGAAATAGCACTTACGTGCAAAATCATGGCATTCAAAGAGGAAATGCTTGACAGTAAGATATTTCTTGCAACCATAAACCGTAGGTTTTTTCATGTGCGAAATTCATCAAGCCAAATAACGGACTGTAGGTGATTGCATACTTCCTTCTCTAGTAAAACTGGAAATACATTATGTAATAATTTAAGTATTTTCCCATTTGGCAGGCAGCAAATAAGTCTCTTTTTGATTTTAAAATGCAAAACTTTCTTGAAATAAATTAAAGTCGTTTGTGTATATTGTAAAAATGTCCATGAGATTATTTATCGCAAATGAATACACACGTACACACAAAAACGAGTGTTCAACACAAAATCAAAATACTTTGTTTAGAGATTTTTTTGGCAAGATGAAATTTTCATAAATATTTTTGAGATGTATTTAAAAGTAATATATTTCAAAGTGGACAGGGAAAGTTATTTACAAAACTGACCATACAATTCACGTTAAAGATCATATATTTTGTAATTAAAGTTGTAACCACACTGAAATGAAATTTTATATATGTATGTAATTATTATTCTAAAACAATTTTCAAACATCGAAGAATATGCTGAATATGTTCTACAAATATTTAACCATATTATAAGTAATCATTAAAATAAATGCATTTATTTCTTTTCGAAAAAATATGACTTTGACGTTATAAAAGATAAAGTTCTAATTAACTCACTTTATAAACATGAAAAGTAGATTAGGTAATATCTTTACAAATAACTATTTTTGGAACTTACGAGTACAATATTGATAAATCTTCATTTGAGCATTATATATAAAACCATAAAAAATTAGTAAAAGGAACATTAATTACCATAAGAGAATACCAATAACCTTACTGTGTGAGTCATGATATAGAAATATGATGGTACATATTGCAAAATCAGTCTCTATCCAACGTTTCATGTAAACTTATTCATTTTACCTTCAGGCAAACGGGTACCTTATTGACAAGTGGGGAAAATTCTTTGATTTTGATGATTTCAGTCATGATGGAATTCTTTCATTGGAAGACCCAAAAGCATTTCTGTAAGTAAACATGTATTACTGAAACCTAACTAGAATATCAGTCTGGACAATCAAGAATTAAATTAATTGATCTAGCTCGATAAAAGATTAACTCGAGAATAAGGTTAAACGATTGATAAAGCATATGACAAAGATCATTACATAGACCGGTGGTGTTGAATTATCCAGAGTTTTATGAATTTACGATTTAAACAAACAGAATACACGATGATAACTTAATGAATTCAAGATTTCAACTTTACAAATATATAGAGTTCAACTAGTAATTAAAAAACATTTAGTCGCCTCGTCTACTTGATTCATAGTGTTGATTTATAGTATCATTTATATTAACTACAGGGAACATTATAAAGCTCGTGATGATCTGACCGATAAGCAAATAAAGAAGATCGTAAAAGAAATGAATAGACTGTGGAAGGTCTTCTTTTTCACAAACAAAAAAGAACTCTCCAAAAATGACTTCATAAACATGATGAAACAAAGGTATGAATCCAATACAGCTACATTTATTGAGATGGTACGTGCGTTTACAACGGATTGGTGCAAATTGTTAGACTTGGATGGAGACACATTTCTTGCAAAAAATGAATTCATTATGAACTTTGTTGCTGGAACGCACAACAATACCCAAATAGACGAGCAATTTTTCTACATGTATAATCCCGTTAATGATCGTTTTCCTGTTGACGATCTCATCGAGTCTTTTGTTCTCTTTGCAATTGAACCCGATAGCTCGAAACCGGACATTTTCTTAAATGGAATACAAATCGGAGTTTGAATAATGATTATTTTTAAAACATTTGATGAAATTTCGTTTTGACAAGAAAGAGTTATTAAATATGTGTTTGCATCTCAATATATCGTTTAATCTCATTATGTATAAAAATCTGTAAAAAAGATAAAAACATATTTAAAGGCATATTGTTTACTAGAAAGAATGGGAGATATTTGAGTGGTATAAAATGACCGACATGCAATATCTCGTCATAGGATCAGACTTGAACAAAACATTAAATGGCGCAAATGCCACAATCATACTTAATTATCATATTGTAACTTTCTCGACACAAATATGAAAACGTTGACCATTTGCACCACTCCGTAATTAAATGTTGGAATTGTTTCTTACGTAATCTTTCTGATAAACACGTATATTACTGTCCCTGTGTCAAATCATATAAGAAAACTCAAGTCTTGATTTTGAGTAGTTAAGAGCCTAAACGGCTTATTTGGAGAAATAAAATCATCATTAGGACTTCGTTTCACCTTAATATAATTGTAAACATCCTCATGAGGTGAAAAGGAGTCATTATTACCTTTCGTTTTCGTACAAAGTGCAGACAAGGATTTCATTTCTCTAATTTAAAATTAATCTTTTCAAATTCTAATTTGAATTTTTCTAGTTCAAAATTCTTACAGTCATAATAAAACCTTCTTATTAGTAGTTATAGTGTCCAATAAATGCTTGTTTGTTTTCTCCTTAAATCATGTTTAATATAGAATACTTATTAGACTTTTATTTTATGATTTGACATTCCTTATTTATTAGGAGAACATATAACAGTCCTAATTTGGTTTGGTTTATAAAGTTATAAATATGGCAATTGAAATTATATCAGACATAAAAGCTTGTTTACTTCTATTTTTGGAAAATGTCGTTGAATTTTATGTCAATTGAACAAATTTGTTCCATAAGTTAATTAATGTATCTTCATTCAACCATCACTTATCATAGTAACTAGGTTTTAAGAGTCTATCCAAGTACTGATCAGGAGAGAGAAAATTCATTTGTTTAACTTGATGGTTCTGTTAAACTCGTCTCCTTATGAATTACAAATTGGACTGGTCATTTGAGAACGTGATGACTTTTTCTAAATTTCCTAATGCATGTCAAATTTAACGGTAACTGTAACATTATAAACATACATCTTAGAATTTCACTGGTTTTTGACTGAAAGTAAAAAGCTATTATTATAGAGGAACTTCTTGTATACAAACGATTACAAGTTTCACTTTTGAACTTAAACAAATGTGTATTTGAAACGCACTTATTGAATATTTTCTTGGATACTTGAGTTTTGTAAAACATGTCACCTCCCAAACTAAAAATATTGATCTTATTTTGTATTCGTCTTGTTTAAAAGTTTGTTCTGCAGGAATAATGACAAGTTGTGTTCTACATCCCCTATCGAGAAATAAACTGACTAACCGGCCAATTTAGATCACGATCTCAGAAACGGATGTTTATGAAAGAACTGTTATATTTTTAGTTCGTATATTCGATGGTGTTCTAAGTACGTCAATTAGATAATTATGTTGATATCGAAAATAAATATTAACATTATCTAAAATTGATAATCGTGATGATGAATTAAATAAGAAAAAACAAAATTCATCTTAACTGTTGAGAAATAACTTTGTTCTATGGACATATTCTGATTACTACAGTAGAAATAGGTGAACAAAAATATTTTTATTTTTCACTTTCTGTAATAAATTTTTTATTGTGTTCAGCAATGACCTACAGGACATACTGGATCAACATCTACGGCATTTAATAAGCAAATATTAAAAAATCAAATTATAAACGGTATCAGAGAAAATAGCCACAACATATTTTTAACAGTATTCAAAATTTATTGCATGCCGAAAGATAAGCCAAAATCTTTAAAAAAAAAATCAAACTTTGTAGCCCTATCTAAGATATCATGAAACAAAAACAGGATTTAAATGGTATGTGCTATTAATGACTGAGTTTGCGTAATTTATCACCGTTTGCATTGTATCCGTATTTGTATTATATAACTACTTACATATGCAAATAAATCCAAACTTTGTAAAGACAAATAGAAATATTCAAAACAACAGGCACACATAAACGTTACTGTAAATAACAGGGGAAATGCTTCTTTTAACAGACAGTAATGTTATTACGTGTGTTATAATTCGTTACCAATTTTTACAAAAATATCATTTTAGAAACTTTGACTTTTTACTTCGACATAAAAGTTCATACAAGCTCAATAATGATGATTTCTTTTTATCATTTTGTTTACCTTGAATACCTTTAGTATTTAATCATATTTTTTGGCATTATTATGGTTCACGTTTCACTGCGTGCGTTGATATAAAGTTTACTGTAATAACAAAATGTGTTATCGCCCTTATTTCTCATCAAACCAAATACAAGACTTCTTAGATGCAAAAATTTAAGTCGCCCAGTGTGCTTTTTTATGCTGCGATAGATACATTTTTGTTTTATGTTCATATGTTCCCGGAAGTAATATTATCTTGCCTACATAATCAGAATGGATTTATGAAATCTATTAAAAATTTAGCATTATTTCAAGTTGCAGTTATTATAATCGAAAGTTACTGCGCAATTTGTCAAGCATTTACATCTGCAGAAATACGAGGAGGCATTTAAGCCCGAAACCGCGATGCGAGTTTGCAAACATTCTTTACTCTGGATTAATGTAGATATTAAAACATAACAACTATTTTTTCCTTCGAAAAAAACATTAACAATTATCAATCTGCATCAGACTGGTCATTAACAATCTATAGATAACAAAACAATAAAACAGCTATTTTACATAGCAAAACAAAAATATTGGTTAATATTTATGATTTTACATATCTAAGTGTTGGTTCGTTTCTCTACTCGGTTATTGACAGTGTAGCAGGGTCATGTATTTTGATGAGTATTCAACAAATGTTTTATAACTGTTACAGTGAAAGTTTAATCTGAGCGATATGCAACTGAATGTTTAAGGCATTTTACTTTACAAGCAAGAAAGAAATGTCCAAAGACGACTTTATAGGCATGATGACACAAAGGTATGAATCCAACTTGAGATGATGCTTGTGTTTGCAACGTAATAGAGCGATGTTATAGACTTGAATGGAGACAAATTTTGTTCGTTATGGAACTGATTCTGATAGGTCAATACCGGACGTTGCGTTAAATGCAATTAATTCCGGTTTTAATAAAATATGTTTTCCTTAAAATCTATTGACGAAATTGATTTGAAAAATGTGATAATAAACATTTATTCGAATAGCAATATATAAGCCTCGATTTAATAACAAAACATAATTCACTTTAGATGTAAACTGTCTATTTAATATTTGTGCATGTAATAATAAAAAAATATAATTATGATGACAAAATATAACAGATTTAGCAATTTTGTGCCAATTAACCAAAATCAAAATTAAAAGTCTTAATGGCACGAATACAACCATCTTATATCACTATCACAGCAATAGGCGGAAAGAGAGTTAGTTTATACAACTTGTACAATATTTTTTTCGGAATAAGTTTAGAAATAATAAAACAAGAAAATACGTTTCTTTAACCTTTAAATTTGTTGAATGAGATGAAAACACACAGAACACGAACATCTATAGCTATTTTATATAACCGAAAAATGTAACATTCGCGATACAAACCGGACATATTTGTAAAATAATATATGTTTGACTTCATTGTGTTATAATAAATTGGTTGGACTTCTTTCTAACGTAATAGTCCGATACCTACGGAAGCGTTCTGTGCCATGTTTGAAATTATAATGGCCTAAATAGAACTTTGTAACTCATATAAGGACTTATTTATGCGAGTAATTGTATGTTTAAAAATCTAATTTGGAGAAAAGAAAGCCTAATATCTTAGTCAGTTTTATTTCTTTATTTTTTTTTCTCTTTTAAACAAAAAAATTGTCAACGTTTTCATATCAGTTTTGTCCTTAGAATCTAAAAAAATCTAGAAATGCCAAGGACCTGACGAGCTGATGCATATACAAAATAACATTTAAGTATCAAACATAATATCTCAAGTTACTTTTGGTTTATTTGTTCCTATAGATACCGATATGACATTTGCAACATATGTATACTTTTAGATGTAAAATTGAACTTTGATATCAGTTGACCTAGCTAATCTGACGAAATGACCTACTTCTATCTCCGTTGATGTACGGCTATGGGATTTTGAGAATATGCACTATTTTAGATGAAAACGTTTGATATCAACCTAGATAATTTGATGAATTGACCTACTTGTTTGGCCTTTGATGTACACAAGACCATGAGCACAGTTGATTATTGAACTTACTGGTAATGATTTATACTTAAACAGAACAAGTGTGACCTAACCTACTACTGATATTAAAAAATAAAGAAAAACTCCTTTTTTTCTCTTAAATTTACTTGATGAAGAATTGTTTTTAACCGTCAGTGGCTCTTGTATTTATCGCAACAATGGGTAAAATAGGAAATTGTTCATCAAGATATTTGAAAGCAAAAACTTGTCAAATGCGCCCAAATCTTTCTCTTGAAATACACGTTACTATTTTCCTGTAAATGCCTGGTAAAATGTGTTTCTGTTATATGATCAAAACATTTTTGTTTGAGTTAAACTAACTTAGATTTGTTTTGACTACACTATTTTTTATCCTTTATCCTATATATGTTGTGATTCAATTTATCTCACTTTTAATTTCAAATACAAATTTGTTTTTAAGTAAATAGTCCGGTGATTCAAATGTAGAAGCAGACCAGACTGTACATCTGTGCAGTTATAACGGCTCTCAACATTTAAAAATCTACCTCAACAAATCGTTCATCTTGATATGCTCACACTTTATTATCTGTGTCCCAGGGTCGTGTTGTCGAGTCATATGTTGTATGTCAATACGATGAAAAAATATCTCGTAGTGTACATCATTGGTTATGAGTTATGAAATGACCTTTTCCTGCAATGGCTACGATATGGTCTTTTATTTGTAACTTCGTATATTGAGTTAGTTCAGTTCG